GCATCTCTGGCCTGTACCCCAGCTCTTGCATGCATGAATAAGTGAATCTTTAAAAAAAAAAAAACCAACTAAGGAGAGAGACAGGAAAAATACAGTAAGACAAAGCCAGTAGGCAAAAGAAGCAGAGAGAAGACATCGGAATAGGCAGCAGGCAGATGGAGGCGCTGAATCAGGAGCCTGGCTCGCTGGTTCTTAGGCTCCCAGAACTTTGGGTGGAGGATGAGAGCCAGCGCTGCGCCCCACACATTGCCAGTTCTCCGTGAGATTAACAGGCTTCACAGCTCTGAGAAGACATCTCCCGCTCTTCTCTTGCTTGTGCACCTTTCCAGGAATCCCCTTTAATTGAGATAAACTGAGCTGATTTAAAGACACAAATCTGACATAGCCAGAAAAACCTATACAGCTTCTCCTCTAAATTTTCTATCTCAATCCAAACTCACTCTCTGTGACAGAGCTGCCAAATAAAGGAGGAAAAAAATGAAGTTACATTTTTGGCCATGAAGGTATGATGTTGAGGTCAGAAAAGTCGGGAAAGTGATCGAGTGTGCCTATCCTCTCTTCGCTTATAATTTGTCCAGACAAACCTCACAGTAGAATGACATTGTGTCACTGTTCGTGTTCACAGCAGATGCAGATTTGGAACAGTTTATATGTATTCTGTCTCACTGCTGGCAGAGCTGCTAGAACATTACATGCTATTCTGGCTCTTCCCGTGAATGCCTGCTCTGTGGAAGGGAGGGGAAGAGGTTTTACACCGTGTACTGAAGGTGTCTACCTTGAGGAGCTATTTTTCTGAAAAAGAAAGATGAGAGTCTCAATAACAACTGGCAGGATCTACAGAGTTCACAGCCATTTTACCTTATCTGATTTGTCCTCACAGCGGCTTGGAGAGAAAAATGAGTGAACGGAAGAAACATTCATTCAATTTTAGAAAATGAGGTCCCCGAGCATTCCTGCCTCTCTCTCACTTCTATTCTCAGTCCATTCTCTTCCCCAGGTCAATCAGCAACTGTGACATCCCTGTCTGTGCTTTGGGGCTGCATGCATTTATGCCCTCTCTGCTCTGAACAGCCATCCTTCTGTCAGCCAAGAGTCAGCTTAAATCTCAGGTCTTCTTTGAGTTAGGGGTAGGAGGCTTAGAGGCCGTCCTTTCTTTAGCCATCAGATTGTTATGACATTTGCAGAGATATCTTTCCAGCCAGATGCTAAGAACCTGGAGCAGGAATCAGCAAAATGATAGCCTGTGGCTCAAATCTAACTTGCCACCTATTTTTTGTAAATAAAGTTTTATTGGAATATGGCCACACCTATTCATTTATATCTATTGCTGCTTTTGTGTGTACAGAGTTGGGTGGTTGTCTGCAAAGCCTAAGCTATGTACTGTCTGTTGGTCTATTCAACAAATTTGCTTATCCCTGACCGAGAGTAGAGGGATCATGCCCAATCTAGCATGTGACATAGTAGAAACACTCAGGAAATTCTCATTGAAGGAAGGATAGTGAGGAGGCATAGGGCGATGAAATGAGTTGCCCCGAATCACATTTCACATAATGAGATATGACTAAGAATGGGGTTCAAATCAGAGAGTATTCAAGCTTTGCTATTTCAGATAAAGAGACTGGTGGGTTGGAATAAAAAGGGATTATTCTAGTCAACTATTGCTGATTTATAATTTACTCCCCAGATTTAAATAACCATTTTATTGCATCTCCCAATTTTCTGGCTTAGATTTTGGATAGGGCTGACTAGGTGATCCCTCTGTTTCTTGCAGCATCAATGGGGACCAATCAGTGGTATTTGGCAGGCAGTTGGGCTATCTTGAAAGGTTCGATTCAGCTTTGCTACTTGCTTAGTGCCTCAGTGGGACTGATCATGAAGCTGGGCTCATTGCATTTGCTCACCTGAGCCCCTACACGTGGCAGTTTCAGTGTAGTCAGAAATCTTACATGATGACCCAGTGTTCCCAAAGCAAATGTCCAGCCTGTAAGTGTAAAGCTGTGTCGTCTTTTAAGACTTCGCTACAGAAAACGCATAATGACACTTCCACCCCACTCTTGGTTGAAGTAGTCATAGGCCTGTTCAGATCAAGGAGATGGGTCCCCATTGCTCAATGGGAAAAATGTCAAAGAATTTGTGGTCATGGCTTTAAACCAGCCCCGGTGGCAGGGGAGAAGCTCGAGTAGTTGTGGGTAGGTAACCAACACTTACTATTGGCTTTTCATAGTTATTTTACCATAACCTTGTGAGAAAGACCTTATTCTCATTTTACAGCTTAAAAATACACATCTAAGGCCCTCCCTGGTGGCACAAGGGGTTAAGACGCAGCCTATGAAGCTGTCCACAGCCAGTGCAGCACAAGTTTGATCCCCACATGGCGGAGCAGACCTCTCTTGTTTCGCCCGCTGCTCCCCTCAGCAGTATATTTCAGTCAGTCTGCCTGTTCTGTTCCCCACTCTGTCTCTGGTGAATCCTCTCACCCTCCACACCTCTGGTCTTTACCCTAGTCCTTGTATAGATACATATTTAAAAAAATGAAAATAAAAATACACATTGAAGATTAACTGGTTTATAATTAACTTAGACAATAGCTAAGCCAGTGAGTTAAGAGTTTTGAGTGCAAATCAGATCCACCTAATTCCAACTGGAGCATTTTCTATTATAACATGATGTCTACGAGAGAGAAATGAAGAAGATTTAGCAGCGGCAGGCAGTACCATGATGGAGGTTAAAGGAAAAGGGTTAAAGGCGAAAGATCCTCATAGAACCTTCTTGATCTAGGAAAATAGTGTCACTGGCATAGGAGTGGCCTGAGTGTCCTTCTGAGAAGACAGCGTGCCCTGACATAACACTTCCTGCAACTCCAGCCTAAGAAGGACCAGATGTCTCCACCCCTTCACCACTTCCTGGCCAGGTGTGCCAGGCGGTCTCTGCCCAAGGACACATACCTTTGGCAGTTAATGAGGGAGATGTTGATGATGCAGTGTAACTGCTTCCAGTGCAGTACAGCATCCTCACATCTCTGCCTTTCCATCCAGCCTCCCATGCAGGGCTACAGGCCACCTCCACTTCAGTGTCCCCCACCAGATTTATATGTCAGGACACACTGCATCACTGTCCCTCCTGCCCGCCTCAGTTCCCAGACTAGTGAGGAAGACTAGTTCCACATGAAAGGAGGTTAGAAGACACCATTCCATGAAACAATGAATAAAAAGTTTAATAAGTCGAAAATCAACAACTCTTCCTGGATCTCTAACAGGGGATAAATTTCTGCTCTCGAGGTTGGAAAAACAGACAGGCAAGCAGAGGGAGTCCAGGAGACTCAGGCACATAGACCGCCAACAGGGACCGGCGTGGACGAAATAAAACTTGAACTGGAATGATGAATTACTGGAGACTCAGTACCAACAACTCTGAGAGTTAAAAACTCCAGGATGGCCCCTGTTGGGGTCCCCACAATCCTGTGATATTTATCTCTAGAAGCTCAACCATGTCCTCATCATAAACATGTAGAAAAATTCCCTCAGGCCTCCAGTGGGTTGAAGGTTAAAGGAACCATGTTGAAGTGTCAAAACAGTCTGTTCTTAACAAGTCCAATCCACAGAAGAAACTAGTTAACCAAGTGAACCAGAGTATGACCTGCTGGGGTAAAGTCAGCCTAACTGACCTGAAAGAAGGGAAATAGCCAAGTCCAGCCCACTTTTGCCATCCTATCCCATTCTGAGTAGAAGGGAAGGTGGAGAAAACAGAAAGATTCCCAGTCCAGAGATCTCGGTGTCTGAAAAGACGGAGACCTTATCCTACGACTATAGGATGCTTCCTCTTCCCCCTTATATTACCAACACACTACTAAAGAATTATTGGTTACAACAATTTGTTTTACTTGGTGCATTGTGTCTGATATGACGGAAAAATTACAAGGTATACAAAAAGGCAAAAAATACACTTGAAGAGACAGAGCAAGCATCAGATCCAGCTATGGCAGGATGTCAGGATGACCAGGCCAGTGAGTCTGCACTGATGGTTCTTTTGCTTCCTCAGCTATCGAGGGACAGAGGAGCGTGGTAGGTTAGCATGTGGCTTTTGTACTGCGCTGTCTCATTGGAGGCCCTGTAGACTTTTTCTAAGTTACTATTCAGGTGAATTATTTCATCTCAGTGAGTGTCAACTTTCTCAATTATGAGATGGTGACAATAACCTTTTAGCATTTTTAGAAGAACTGATTTACTATATTGAAGGGCTTAGAATAGGAATATTACTAGGTGCATCCTAGGTACTAACCTTCTTTCTTTCTATTTTATATATTTTTTACTTCATTTTTCATTTTTGTACAATGTATGCATTTTCCTTTTGGTTATAGTCCCCATGAAATTCCCACTACCCATTCACCTGTGAACCATCACCATGGTCCTTTGTGCTCTTCCCGCCCCTGTTTTGATCCTACTCCCTTCCTGCCCCCCTCAAGTATGTCTCTGGTTTACAGTTGCCTGTTAATTTTTATTTTTACTTTATTATAATTACTTTTTTTTTTCCTAATCCCTTTTTTGGATCCTCTACATTCCTCCTATAAGTGAAACCATCAGATATTTTTCTTTTTCATTCTGGCTTATTTCACTGAGCATGAAATAGCTAAGCTATGGAAACAACCCAAATGCCCCAAAATAGATGACTGGATCAAGAAGATGTGGTGCACTACCCTTATTTCTAATTGATCTCTATGTTCTAGTCGTTTCCATTTATTGAATCCTTTCTGTTATCACCATCACTATCTTAGCCTTGATCTTAATTACCTATCCCTGTATAACATTATTAGCTTCAAATCAGTGAAGACCTGTGTCTTCACTTCTCTTATCCTAATTCATTCTGCACACAGATGACTGAAAAATTATCACCACTATCGACCTGCTATGTACTGTGCATGGCATGAAGCATATTAGGGATATTATCTTTAATTTTTGCAATACCTCACTAAACTAAGGTGACTATTATTCTTACATTTACAGATGGAGACAGTGTACTTGGAGAAGCAACTCCCTGAGAACACACAGATGGGAAGTGACAGAATCAGGATAAGAAAACTGATTATCTTTTACTAAACTGACTATCTTTTTATTAAACCTGATTATCTTTTATTAAACTTTTTATGACATCATACTTTGACTTTCAGCATGTCATCTCCCTGCTTGACAATTTAAGTCAAAAATAAATCAATGACTTTGGAGGAAGAAAGCTAGGAACCTTCAAGGGTTTTCTCTTCATACAGAATTTGTTTTAATCTTACATTTAAACACATGACAACTTAACCCCAAATTAATTATCTAATTTTTAGTACATTTTAACTCCAACCTTCTATTCTAGTCAGGTTTATATACTCGCCACCCCACACAGACCACAGTCAACTTGCACTCCACTTTTTGTGACATCCACCCAGCTAGAATGCAGCCTCACATCCATCAAGCCAAAGTGTAACTTTTAGGTCATATCTCAAACCACAATCCCTTCATAGGGCCAACCTGCTTGTATAGAATTATGAAGGGTTCTGAGATCTTGTCCTCCTTACAAGCTAACAATTTAGTCAGTGAGTGTCATGGGTGTGGCTGTAGACATGAAACCCCTGGGTCAATGACAAAGGACAGTTTGTTGCAACAGTAGTTGTAGGCAGAGTATCAGCAACTTTGTGCCAGCTCCTGATAACCACAGCCTAATGTGGCGAGCTCCAGGTGACATCTGAATACACAATAAGCTGAATTACAGGAGAGGAACATGGAGCTTAGGAACCTGAGTCTTTTTCAATGGACCATAAGAATGCTTCCCTTTTCCCGTGTCTATCTTCCAAAGCTGTAAGCAAACCTGAACTTTGTTTCACAGAGACACTATCTTTACATGCCAGTGTTGCTCACTATACAAACATCCCTGAAGAGAGAGAGCAAAGACAAGAGAGTCCACAGAAAATGGTCCTCCAACACTGAAACACAGGCTACATTTTATTGCCTCTCTCTTAGCCTCTAAAATAGTATTTCTTTAGTTTAAGTGATGTACAATGCCCAGCTTAAAAAAATCAATTTTCATAAACTCCCTAGGGTGACATCGTATCATTTTTGTACAAGAAAACCTAGGTATGCTTTCATTGGGCTTATAACGGTTACACATGAGAGCAATGAAATAAATTAAGTTAAATGCAAACTGAAAACAGAAAACCAATCAATCTCATACTTAGAATATTAAAGCTGTCAAAATTATTGTTTGGCTTAAACTAAATTAGTAATATAGGGTTTAGTAGTAAAGACACAAGCAACAACTCAGCCTCACTTTTCAATTCCCAGGAAGGGGAGATTGATTTCCCTCTCCAATGGACAGTGACTTAATCAATTATGCTTAAGTAATGAAGACTCCATAAAAACCCCAAAGGATGGGGTTCAGAGAGTTTCTGGGCTGGTAAAAATATCTACATGCACAAAGGACTGGCACACCCTAGTTCCATGGGAACAGACTTTGCATCTTACAGACCTTGCCCTATGGACCTCTTCATGTAGTTGTTCTTCTGTGTCCTTTGTAATAACCTGGTAAACATAACAAGTCTAGATCTAAACTTATCCTGCTCTGTCTTTTGATTTCTATAAATCTAATTGTGAATCATGCCTATTTGTATCTTGTATAAAATAATACTTAGGTAAATTATTTTATACAAAACAATAAGGTTTTGTTAGCTGACTCAGAGTAATCATAGCTTACGTTTAACCCAAATAAAGGTAATTTGAATACTGCATTGCTTTATTGGCTCTGAAAAGTACCGTATTCATTTAAAGTTTGTTAGTTCTACTGAATGACCAAATTCTGGACTAAATATATTCTCTAATCTAATTACCAGTAGCATAAGCATAGGAAAAGAATATCTGAAGGTAATTTTTTCCCTAGCAGATGCCAAAACACAAATTTCTAATTTTATTAGTGCTCATAATGTTGACAGTATCCTGTAAATACTAGAAAGAGCATATTTTAAAAACAATTTGATCTTAAGTCAGGTTTTCTTTATACAATAGTCTCTTTGACTTCAACCGAAGATATTTATGCTCCTGTGAAACCTTAGTCCTGCAGAGACTCACATGTACTTCGGTGGTTACTTGGCTCCAGAACTCACTTGTAGTTCATGTCCACCGGCAGCACTCAGCACTGCATTACTGCAAATTCCTGACATTTTCATAGTGGCAAATTCAAATCTCAACTTAGTAAATGACAGCGAGGCTAAACTCTTACTTTAGGAAAAGATTTTCCAGTGGCAAATGACCGCCATACAGGACTCTGACATGAGGACAGAAGTAGACAAAGAACTCTTAGTGACAATTTGACATTAGGACACAGCCATGTCAACTGTGCTCAGATGCTACGTTGTCAATAAAAGTCATTCTCTAACCTGAAGGGATTGCTTAGCTGTGACAGAGACACAAAAGCATATTATGCAGAATATGCTTAAATCACTCTTGTTATCTTTGGGGGAAAATAACATTAAAATGTTCCTGCTGAGCACTGAAGAGCCCCAAGAACCTGTCTGCAGACCCCCAGGGATTCAAGTGCCACCGTGTGGAAGACTCAATGTTCTCGAGAATCTGCAGCAGTATTCACCACCTGGTTTTCCCATAGCTTCCAATTCTCTTCATTTCTTTCCTGGCTAACTCCAGTCTCCAGCTTCTACCTTTCTTTCTTCTTTCCTGGTGTTGACTCTACATATTTTTTTTCCTTTTGTTTTCATTCCCGTAGTACAGTTTCTGTTGGAGCAGCTTTCTCAGTTTGATGTGGCCCTTTTCCTCCTAAATCTTGGCAACTACCCAAGAGGCCTCATCACAGTTTTTTTTTTTTCTTAACTCCGGAGAAGTGTGGGTACAGAGACGCAAGGGATCTACTTAAAGTCACTCCAGTGACCAATTTTATCCCTTCACCCTCTTTTACATATTGGCTCCTGCAGTCTTTGCTAAGTTCCTGAAGCCATTACTCTGCTCAGTGAATTCTAGTTCCTGAAAAGAGGCAGGGCCAGTGTGCTGGGTCACACTTCCTCTTACCTTTTGTTATTTGAGATCGGTGACATTTAAAATTTTTTTTTTTTTACAATTGCAATAAAATACACACAACATAAAATTTACCACCTTAAACTTTTTAAAGTATATAATGAAATGGCATTAGGAAATTCACTATGTAGTTAGCAGGTTACTGTGCAATAATCTCCAAAACTCTTTTCATCTTGCAAAACTGAAACTTCATACCATTAAACAACTCCTCCCTCCCCCAACCCTCACCTCCTTTCAGCTCCTGACAATCCTGACTCTGCTTTCTATACCTCTGCCACTGTCGATGGCAGGTACTTCATATAAATGGGATTATATGATTTTTGTCTTTTTTTTAAAAAAAAGATTTATTTATTCATGCATACAAGAGCTGGGGTACAGGCCAGAGATGTGGGGGGGTGAGAGGATTTGCCAGAGACAGAGTAGGGAGCAGAACAGGCAGACTGACTGAAATACACTGCTGAGGGGAGCAGCAAGTGAGTCAGGAGAGGTCTGCTGTGCCATGTGGGTTGCTCCCTGGCCAGCCAGGGATGGAACTCATGCTACAGAGGCTGTGGATTGCTTCATAGGGCTGTGTGTAACTCCTTGCACCACCAGGGAGGCTCTGGTTTTTGTCCTTTTGTAACTGGCCTTTCTACTTTATTTTTTTTTGGGGGTAGACTTCAAATCCATTTTCCTTTTAATTTTATAAATCAATAAGAACTATAAACAACAAGCATTCACATGTGCTTTTAAAATATTAATACTAATGCTAAACAGCTAATGATAATTGTATCCCATTCTTTTTTATTGAGATGTAATTGATACATGATATTTTATCAGTTTCATGTATACAGCACAATGGTATTTCAATATTTGTATAGGGCCCTTCTACTTCTGACATAAAGTACACACATACACACCCTAGATTAGTCTTGGACAGTCACCAACCTTGGGAACAGGACCTGATGGCCATATGTAAAAATCCTTCCTGTTTTGAGCTCCCACACACAGGCACTGTTCTCTTTGCCATCCTGGTTCCCATCACACTGATTTGTCAACAAGTTGAAATGTTGGCTCCTTTCCTTTTCGTTTCCCAGACTGAAAGTGATTGGGTTAGACCCAAAAAAAATAACTCCTCTCATCCATGAAATGATGAGGAGTGACTCTTACCCTTTTTTGGGTTTTGAGTACGAACTTTTGAGAAGCTGATGAAAGCTCTGTACCCTTTCCCAGAAAATGCACAGGCACACATACTTTGCACATAGTCTAAGGGTTTATAAACCTCAATTTAGAGACTTCAGTGGTGCGCCATTAGCACATTGTACTTGCAAATCTCAATTTAATTTGGATTCCCTTAAAAGTAGACTCTGAAATGAGGATTCAGGTGCAAAAAGTACATTTGGGAGGCAATCCCAGGGAACCTGACAGGAAGTAAAAGGGGTGAAACCCAAGAAGGGACATGTTAATAAGCAGGTACCTCCATTTTGCTGGAGATCCTCTGAGCCAATGTGTGGGACACACCTTAGAACTGTGGTGCTAACTCTCCAGCTATCCCAGTCTGTAGTGCCCTTGGGAAAATGTGTTCTTGCAGCCATAGAAAACCCTCAGGCAGAAGAAACAGGTGTTCGAGAAGGTTTCTGGGCATATGAGAATTTTTCACGGAAGCCAAATGTACCCTCTGCATAGGCCAAGGGCATGTGAGTGGGGCATTAACACTGCTGTAGACTCTGGAATGTTCATTCACACACGTGGGCTAAGAGACTTAAGAAGGGATGCAATACCCTGTTGTTCTATTTAAGCAGTGGCCACATTTTTTATACTCTCAGACCTAATTATCTTAGCAGATATTCAAGGAGCCCTCTTCCATCAGCCTGTAATAGACATCCATGCTGAGTTCACACCCTGCCTGCACAACTTAATACAGCCCCATCTGGGCACATGATCCAGCTGTCACTATTCACTCCAGAGGGCATTCTCAGAGTAGCAAGCAGCAAGGCCTCATTCAGTAGCTCATGTGCTTAATCCATGGGGTGTGAGAATGAAAGCACATGGTGGGAATCTGCAAAAAGTTTAGTGGAAATGGCCTCACTGCCACATCA